TGAGGGTCCCTGACTACCTGTGCAGGATCCTGAGGAGTTATTTCCAGAACCGGCTTCTGGTCTACGAGACAGACATGGGACAGAGATCGATTAGGATCACAGCGGGAGTTCCACAAGGCTCCATCCTTGGTCCAACGCTCTGGAACGGGATGTACAACGGCGTGCTAACGCTGAAACTGCCCAAAGGAGTTGAGATCGTTGGCTTTGCGGACGACGTCGTCTTGACGGTAACAGGCGAGACGCTGGAAGAGGTGGAAGTGTTGTCAACCGAGGCAATCGACATGATTGGTAACTGGATGAAAGGAGCGAAGCTGCAAATAGCCCACCACAAAACGGAAGTGTTATTGGTCAGTAACTGTAAAGCGGTACAGCGGGCGGAAATCACCGTCGGGGAGCACACCATAGCCTCGAAGCGTGTGTTAAAATACCTGGGAGTGATGATCGATGACCGGCTAAACTTCAACAGCCACGTCGAATATGCCTGTGAGAAGGCTTCGAAGGCCATCAACGCGATAGCTAGAATCATGCCGAACAACGCTGGTCCCAGCAGTAGCAAGAGGCGTCTTCTGGCCAGCGTGTCATCATCGATACTGAGATATGGAGGTCCAGCCTGGGTTCCAGCGCTGGAAACGAAGCAGAACCAAAGGAAACTGAGCAGTACGTTCCGGCTCATGGCCATGCGAGTCGTGAGTGCGTACAGAACCATCTCGTCGGAAGCAGTATGCGTTATCGCCGGTATGATCCCTATCGGCATCACCCTGGCGGAGGACAGTGAGTGCTACAGGCAGAGAGAAGCCGGAAGAGTACGGAAAGTTGTGAGAGTGGAGTCATTGGCTAAGTGGCAACAGGAGTGGAACACGACGGAGAACGGTAGATGGACACATAGACTAATACCGATTCTTTCGACCTGGGTGAACAGAAAACACGGAGAAGTCAATTTCCACCTAACGCAGTTCCTGTCTGGCCACGGCTGCTTCAGGAAATACCTGCATCGGTTCGGACACGCAGCGTCACCCCTCTGTCCGGAGTGTGGCAACGTCGATGAAACGCCGGAGCATGTGGTCTTTGACTGTCCAAGGTTCGAGGCAGTGCGAACGGAGATGCCCGTCCTTAACGTGGAGAATGTCGTCGATGAAATGTGTCGAGAGGAGGACTCTTGGAATGCCGTCAGCAGGGCAGTCACACAGATTATGTCAGAGCTGCAGCGTAAATGGAGAGAAGAGCAGCGATCTAGCAACGCCAGCTAGCGCTGAGAGTACGACAAGTGCATGAGCACAGCCACCCCCCGAAGTAGTCGCTTCACAGTGGTCCCGGGGGGATCCAGGCAGAGGAGAGAGTAAGGAATGGGTTTTAGTGGAGCTGCACTAGGCAACTAGTGGATACCACACCGTGCCACCTTCACTACAGGCCAGGCTTCTTGAAGCTTTCCTAAACCTTACTATAAAAAAAAAAAAAAAAAAAAAAAAAAAAAAAAAACACACATGTCGTGTAGTCGCTTCACAGTGGTCCCGGGGGGATCCAGGCAGAGGAGAGAGTAAGGAATGGGTTTTAGTGGAGCTGCACTAGGCAACTAGTGGATACCACACCGTGCCACCTTCACTACAGGCCAGGCTTCTTGAAGCTTTCCTAAACCTTACTATAAAAAAAAAAAAAAAAAAAACACACACATGTCGTTTTATATGGAATTCGAACCATGACCTTCCGATCACCAGCCGCTTGCCTTGCCATCTGAGCTATCCTAGAATACATCATATAGGCAGCTAAATAAGCAATAAAAGCTTGAATCTGAATACCTTTCAGCACTCCCTGCCGTAACTTTAGCTAATTCAAGAAGATGTGAGAATGATTAATTCATTCACAGTTGTTTTACATGAGACCGATATTACCTCTTCATCTCTCTAATTTCAATGGAAAGGTTGCTGGGCTATTCTTTTAGATAGATCGATGAATTGGTTGTCGTAAGTGATACGATCTATGATTACGATTAAAATTAATTAGGCGTAGAAAATAAATAAAAAAGGGTTGAGGTTGGGATTGAACTCGCGACCTTCTACTTGGAAAGCGGAAACGGTAACCACCATGCTACCAATTTCGTTTTGTTGTTAGCCTGAAACAGTGTTGTGGAATAATGAATGAATACACCGTTTGTATGTTATTAAATCAATTGAAAACAGTCGAATTAAAGCGTCAATGTATGTGCAAATTGCACTTATTCAGTGTGTTATTCGATCAAACTTCTGGTGTTGAATTGGGAAACAGTCATCGTTTGTATAGCTTTTAATAAGTATATTAATCAAATCAGAGCAAACAGCGGAATAAAGGGGCATCTATCGATCTCAATGTGGTTTTTTTTTCAGCGCCCCGTTTTATTCAGCATTGTACACTGTTATAAAGCATTTATTCAATATATATATGCTTATTTGTGACTCTGAATTGTTTCTTGGGCACTGCTTCCTTAAAACAGTGATGTTCAGTATACGCTTGAATCTCACTCCCGAACTCTACACACAAAAAACGAAAGTTGTATCTGTAAAAATATTAACCTTTCAATTTAAAAGTACCCCTAAATTTGTTACTTGAGCTAACAAGCTTATTTTCAATCCAAAAGTAGATGTTTTGATTTTAACTTGTAGTTTTAAAAGTGCAGATTTGCAAATCAAAAATTGTTTTACTGTCAAAACAACTTCTTCGGGGGTAGGTTTCTACTCGTTTCTGGTTAGTTTTTGAATAACGTGAGTAAATAAAAATAAAAACGCGCAAAACGAGAATTGAAAAGCTTTCTTTATCAATTTCTATTCGACCAGTTTTCAAAACAAATCCCTGCTGCATTCACCGGATCATCCGTGAGCTAGACCGGCTGAAAATATAAATAAAATACGGCGATACCACAGGATGAATATGGTAAGTTTATCTACGATAATGCCTTGTTCAGACTAGAGATTTTTTTACGATAATAGAATCGCTTTCTTTTCGGAAATTTCAGCATCAGTCAAAAGTAAGATCATCGTTCCGGATTGGGTCACACCGAACTCTGAGCCAGATGGTTGAAACAGTAGCACCACAGTTTAAGATTGAAGCAGGGGGAGTGGATTGCATGGACGGCTCAACAGATGCTGACGAGGATGGCGGACAATTCCACAATTCAATATTTTTAATTTTTTTTGTTAGTTTTACATTTAAAAAATATATATACGTAAAAATCAAAACAATGAACTTTATGTTTAAAAAGAAATAAAATTTTGTTTGCTTAACTACGCTCTCATTTTGAAATAAGATAAAATTTATTTTGACCTAACCTACTCTTAATTTGACAGTTCTACAATTTCATTTCAAAAATAGAAACTTTTAATTTGACATTTATAAAATTTAATCATAAAAGTTGTGACTTTTAAAATCAAAGGATTCAGCATTTTTATTTTAACTGTTCATGTCTTTTACATTTGAAAGTTTCTGACTTTCTACCAAAAAGAACCAATGCAAACTTTTAATTCTACCAACGGTTTCTTTAATTCTATTAACGTTTATTTTGTGTGTGTATGGTTAGAGTATAAACATTTATATATCTGATTTAAATGAACAAAATTCGTATCCGTGCTCAATTGATCGTCTGATTTTCGAGAAGATGTTTGTCAAAATTGATTCCTAGTCTGTCATAAAAAGTCTACACGGATAGAAATCTCCTTATACCTTTTGGTAAATTTCTATTGTTGATTATTCATAAAATGTATAAGTCAACTAATAAGCAGACGCCTTGCAAAAAGTAAATGAAGATCATGTGTCAAATGAAATGTATAAGCGATCACACATACCTTTTATGCATTCTTGTAGGACCCATGTGGTTTGTCTTATGGAATGTATAAGGCTGATGTTTTGGCAAAAATGTATAAGTGAAACAAATGAATAAAATAATTGATTTTCGTTTCGTGTAGTACAATAGCAGGTTTATTTGAAAATTTTCTGTCTGTCAAATTTAAGTGAAAATTCGTCAAATGGAACACAGCCTGAGTGATTTTCGGCTAAAAAATTAGTAGCCTCAAAATAGCGTGCACATCAGTATCGGTGAACTCCAACACCGTAGACATGGAACACGTTCATAAAATATATCCGAATGAACTTCAAAATCCTTCCCCTCAACCAACAGTGACATTAAACGTCATCTCTTCGCAATGTGTACAGAGAGAGGTGATACAGATCGTGAAATATAGAGATTGCTGACGTTTGTCGTACGCACATTACGTCACGTATACGTATACGCAAAATGTTTTCATCGGGAAAAAAAACTTCATAGCGGAAAATTTTCCGGATGAAAACAAATCACTGATCCAATAATACTTTAGCAATCTCTATTGTTGATTAGAAACTAAAAAATAAACGTAAACGCAAGTAGTGACGTCACTAATTGCTTGTATCGTACAGGGGTTTTACTCACACAACTTAACCGATTGCTTTACCTGTGTAAGCCAATCATTGATCTCCTCGCACACAAACAAACCCGAAGGAGAAAAAAGAAACAAACCCCTAACTTTTGTTGACGTTTTCTACATAAAACGGGAGCAGTGAAAACGGATCACAAAATACGGTGGTGCTTGATTGGAAAGTAATTTTAATAGCCCGATGCTGTGTGCAATACGATAAAAGGTCAACGCTTTCCTATTCAAACGGTGGATCAGTGAATCTTGCTGATATCTAAACTGGTGCAAAATAAGGGTCAATAATTGGATTGTGGTACGGATTTTTTCGGCCAAATGAAGATGACCGCTCCGCGACTAGTCGCTCGGGCTAGTCGCAGTAGATGCTTCATCGGACTCGGAATATTGATATTGATGGCTGGATTCGTGGCCATTTTTCACAGCTCTCAACAGCAGCTGGACGAATTACGTCAGCTGGGTCTACGATGTGAACAACAGCAAGAAGCGATCTCAGCAAAAATGCAAGGTAAATACAAGATTATATTATATACAACAACATAAATGGGTTTCCACTGAATATTGTATGTCTTCTAGTTGTTGTGGATCAAAAGCTTCGGTTGGAAAACTCGCTGGCTTCTGAGCGTATGATTAATGAGCAAAGTCGACTGGAGCATCAGCAGAAGACTCAGGACGAGAAGGAACAACGCAATAAGGCAACGATGGAGGCCAACATGCGGTACGCAGCCCTTCAGCAGCAGTACAATTTGATGAAGAGTCAGCTGAAAGATTTTACGGAAGAATGTTCCATATCGAAAAGGAAACAACTAGAGGAGATCAACTCACTGCAACTTAAGGTCAGCGAACTGCAAGGAAAGGTATCTCTCCATCAGAAGGAATCAGCAACGGATGTTGAACATCTCAAGGTATGTCGTAGCAGAATTATAGAGGTATTGTAAGAAAACGGGTGTAACTTAATTGTTTTACAATACATTGCAGTCTCAACTTAGTCAACTAAAAATAGAGAAAGCAAATTTGGAAAGTTCATACAGGCAAAAGCTGACATACAAAGAAAAAACCATAGATAAATTGAAGGAACATAATGAAAAGATGGAAAAGGAAAATTCGCAATATATTGAACTTTGTAAGATCCCGCTGGAGAAGATGCCACATCATGTAAAAGCAAGTGATGTATTCGCGCAACTTCCTCCGAGCATCCCAAATTCGGGTCCGCTGAGAAATTTCGCCGAGCAGATTTCCGTGAGTCAAGATTTATACAAAATTCCAGTAGTATTGAGCAATCGTACTAACAACCTCGGGTCTTTGCGTGGAGGTGCTGCTTTGTTTGCCGCTAACGATCAAGAGCTAGAAGGTCGTGGTGTTATTGCTAAACCTTTTGAAACTAATGACCGAATCAAACCAAAAGCGGCTGCAGTAGCCGTTGACGGTGGAGTAATTAATTCTGTGGAAAATTTTCAGATGATTCCCAAGCCATTGCCACTCGATTCGACCGATGAAAACGGCAAGAAGCCTGGCGCTCAGGCCAGTAACGTCCTCCAGCAGCCTCAGTTGATGAAAACATCAACATCAATTCCAGCTGCTCTGAACAAGAAAACATCGGAGAGAAACAGCAATCTGCAGGTTCCGATACTAGCTGTTCCAACTGTGATATCCGCAGATAGTGCTAAATCCTCCTCGTCCTCTACTACCAGCACCACGACGCCTAATAACGGTTTAGTGAAAAAGCCAGCTGGCAAACTCCGGTCAAAAACCCTTCCCGTTGGGATTGTTCCCTTCCCTGAGAATATGGAAGATTTGATGAAGGTCGAGGAAAACAATAGCGAAAATGCTATAAACAATCGTTATCTAAATGTGGCGTCACATCAAAACGCCAACACTAATGGTGACAAACGACCACGCAATGACAAGGATCTTAACTTTATGAACGGCAACGTTGAGCTGGAAAACGGAGCGCATGAAGTAAACGATAACGATTTCAATCTGGGCGGTGGTGGTGGTGGTGCAAATAACAATCAACTTCAGCAACCGAATGTAAAGGATACCAACCAAAATGGCGAAAACTTGAATGCTGCCGAAGAAGATACCAATTTGTATGAGCAGAGACTGATGTTTGCGAATGCCCACCAGCAACAGCAGCAGCTGCTGCAGCATGGCGATTATAATGAGCCACATCATCATCTGAGCGAGAGTCGAAATGGAGCTGGTGCGAAGAATGGCATCGGCGAGAAATTGATCAACGAAATAGTCCGTGACCATGGCAAAGAAGGCGATAACTATCCCAACGAGATGGAGGAGGACTTGCATCTCGACGGACAGCAGGAAGCGGAAGACGAAGGAGACGGTAAGTACTGAAATTGAGTTTGTTGTGCAACTGAACATATTATGATTTCAACGATTTCAACTGCAAAAAGCCAAAGTCTGCTAAATAGGGTCTAGTGGGGGTAAGAGTGCCTCCGTAACAATTGTCATTCTATTTATGCCAAATGGTGGATATTTATAAAAGTTTGTACACCTTATTGCAAATCATAACATTAGCTTCATAAATCAGCAAAAGTTGTAGCTGATTTTTTCAAAATGTTGTCTCAAATCTTATTTTGAAACTGCAATGGGGCAAGATGTCAACTCCTATGGGGCAAAAGGGCCATGCGTCTTGAAGGGAGCGAAATCGATTAATGCTTGTTCATAAACATAGCCTTTGCATAATCATGCTAGTAACAGCTGTTATTGTTTACCCAATGTAACTATTGAATTTTGCATTATTATTCAATACATAACAAATAAACCATGTTTACCAATGAAATCAGCCGGCGCCGGTGGTGTAGTGGTAGGCGTGACTGCTTTCTAACACCCTCTAACACAGGTTTGTGGAAGCTGCCTTCCTGCACATTCGATTGCCGTCAATGGATGGCAATCGATGTCCGTCGGTGATTGGCACTAGATTGCGGAACAGAGACCGACGTTAAATACAGAAAAAAAAGAACTAATGAACTCAAATGAAAACTATTGTTGATGATGATGATATTTTACGTAACTGGTTTTTCCAAATTTGGAAGCTTAACGAAGACTAAAATAAACAATGAAGCAATTTCTTTGACATTTTTGTATAATTTTATTCATAAATGTTGGGGTGGCCTCTAACCCCGTGTGAGGTTCACTTTTAAGAAGGTTAGTAAAGAAAATATATAAAGGAAATGGCTCTAATGTTGGCCTATGGATCTAATATTGGACCCATCGCTAAAAATTTGCTATTTATCAATTTTATCTAGATGAACGCGTCATTGGGACGGTACACTGATAAAATTTCAAAGATTGTCTTTATGTGTCCCACACACGATTTTTTGCAATGTGATAAACAAATGATATCTATGTGTCGAACACATACTTAATATGTGAACACATAAAAGCCATGTGTAACCCCACATACTATTCATTTGACTCATATGGAACAAAATCATGTGGAATTTCACATGAAAATTCGTCAATAAAAATGTGTGGAATTGTTTAGTGTACTAATGGATCTTTTTGGTCGCTATTGAAAATTTAGTCGATTGCTGAATTTATGTATGGGCCCAAATTAGGGGCATTTTGGCCGACATTACATGCTTCGATTAATAATTAATAGTAATCTCTAGCTCCACCTGACCCTAGTATCGTCGCTCTTAGTTTATATTCGTTCGCTATTTCATGGCGTTTCATGACCATGAAGGGCTTCCAAAAGTCACATTGTCTTATACACAAAGCAATTTTTGTGTTTGCCTGCATGTTACGATATAATTCAGCAGGTTGCGTAATCCATGAAATGCTGTATTTGCAGCTACTGTCTTTTTACCACGCTAGAGTTCAACGATGCACAAATTCTTCCATAACTACAATCGTATAAACTTTAAAAACACCAGTATTGCTGCCACGCTGTCTACCGGCGGTCATGTTGTTTTGGTAGGGCTATTTAAATAAAATTAAATTTGACTAAATTAGCAAAAGCATTGAAAATCAAATAATAAATAACGTTCCAACAAACCATTTAATTTTCACCATACAGATGGCGAGTATGACGATCCAGCAGCGTTGAAGCAAGGACATGCAGAGCGTAACTGAACAGCGTTTGTTGAACAACTTTAGTGTTGTATTTCTATAGATAAATTTTAGCGAGAAAGTGAATCTATTTTTTGTCACAATAATGTGTTTACTACAAGTAGCTATCGGAATAAGCATCGTATCGTTGAAAGGGCCATCATGGAGGCGGACTGTCTCATCGGTCTCATTGGAAGAGCTTGTATCATTTCCCGATTGATCCGCATACATGTGTTTGAATGACTGATAACCGCAGTCGGAGCGTTTGAAGTTGAAGCATGTCCCGCAAGCAACTCAATGTACATGTAGACTCAGAGAGAAATGACATAACCTAACTATTATAAGGCAATCACTGCACTGTTTTCCGTACATTCATAGAATTTAGGTGTATAAACTGTCAAATCGATGAGGTTTTCGTGGTAACTATTAAAACGTAACTTCCTCCGTTAGTCCGTACTTGTTATATCATAGCAAATGTTCAACAACAACAATACATTTTATTTGTATGGTCACTTAACCCTTTGAACCCTAACTGTTTGTGCTGTTGCTGTGGCGAGTAGCTTCCTGTAATGTAATGATGTTATACAGCGGGTTCAAAGGGTTAAGAACAAGGTTGATAGAATCCAGAAATGACCGTGGTCATGGCAGATTTGCTCTGTAATGATAGTTGTCATTTGTGGCTTCTATCAATCTTGCCATTAATTTACATTTAGATCGTAAACTATCATCTTCCAAAATACGCAACCTTTTCGTTTCTCTGTGTCATCCAAACATTTTTGTCTTATAAAAACTTTCACGTGGAAAGATATTCGTCCTTATAGATCTCTATTTATTGAAAGTAATATGCTCAAAGGTGATTTTAAGATTATTTAGGTTCGATTTCCTTACACTATTACTACTTAAGTTAAGATTTTGAGTGAGCAATCGAATCATAGCTACAAGTTGACTTTACCTTCAAGCTCCCTGTTTGCCATATATTTAAACTAAACATAATTTTAAAGGTTCTTTGTTTACCTGCTGGGTATATTCCCCTCGAAGAAACAATTGGTTTAAGGCTGTATCTATTCTGGCAGAAAAAGTTCAATACATTCGATTTTAGTCTGTCGATATCAATGTGGCAAAGAGCACAACAAACATAAGTCCCTTTTCATCAGCAATAGAGTATGTGACCAAGCAGAAGAGAATAATATTTAAATCACATTATTCAACATGAAATCTCATCTAATGAACATAACTAAAATCCACCAGAAAGTAGGCAGTTCGATTCGTGTCGGATTATTTTTGATATTGCATTTAAATCAATCCGATTGCAGCATCAGTACACCAACTAATAGAAAGAACGTTATTGGAATGCTAACGCAAATTGGAGACAAAACTGAACCGTTCTAGTTTCCATTATATACATACCCGGATATGAACTATATAGAAACATCAACGAAAACTCAAAATCAATGTTAGGTTTTTCTACATTCACAATAAATACGTTTATTTTTATTATCCTATTGCTTCTGCATTGATTTTTTGAGCGAAGATATTGAGAAATCCTCTGATTTATATGCCTAATCTATGTCGGAAGTCCCATTAAAAAACATCCTTCTAAGAATTCCCCTGCAAGGACGACTCTTTTAAACAGATTGGAAAGATTTACAACCCTATTGCTGAAGAAAGTATATATCCTATTCTCCAAAGCATGCCTGTGCTATGTACGTGAAACATCATTTTGTTTGTTTATTTTGAAGGCTTAATCGCCTTAGCTTTACGGAGCCTACAATTCAGTGTTTGTAACAAAATTCACTTAATTCTATGTCTAGTAGGAGTTGGGCCGAATACTCGTGGCTTACCCAATGTTAGAGGGGAACATTTTCGAAGGATAGGATAAGGGAAAGAGCTTGGGGGTAGGGTATCGTTGTCTCATCAGAGCGATGTCGCCAGTATGAACGGTAGTGCGGTTCTAAATTCGTCTGGAGTTTGACTGGAGTTCGACTGGCTATGGTGACCAGTGCACGACGATGAGACACATCGAGACGGGGGGAAGACAAACGAATTAAATTCTTATACTAGAGACATTTGCAGAAACAAATAAATCGACTATTTTACACGGAGATGAAAAACTACCCAAAATTAAGTAATTTTCCCTCAATTCCGGGGTTCAGCCCAATAACCCAAATTTGAGTAAATTGCATATAGTAGTTTCCATTTAACACCAGCAAAAAAATTACCTACTCTTAAGTATATTCTATCCAAAATAACGTAAATTTGAGAATATGCAATTTACTCAAAAGTAACTTATTGGGCTGAACTATATCGTTGGGTTGAATCTCTCGTTCCTTTTTTGACAACAATAACGAGTGGAAGTGAGAGGCTGAAGTCAATATTAAGTAAAAAGAACTAAAATTTTGGGTAGTATTTTTTCTCCATGTACATAAATTGGTGAACATATCATCACATACAAACAGACGTAACACTTCATTGTGTATCTTCGTTCAAGCATTGATTTGAATATTATCAGTTCCGCGAACTACTCGCCTCAGCGCTGGTATCGGATCACTTTGACATTTCTATACATTCTATAGAACTTTCATGCAATATTGTTTGCGAGTTAGCGAGCAAGCTTGTTTTCCGCGAGAAGCCCAAAAGATGTCGTTACTGAGGTCCTATGTTTTGAGATACTATGTTTTCAAGAAAAACTTTTTCAAAGTGTTACGTCTGTTTGTCTGTGATATCATGTCAAGTTAACTGAAGCTGATGATGAAAGTACTAACATTTTCACGTCAAACGTGTATGTGCGGTTGTGTGGGTGTGCCAGTTATGGCTATACGTTCCTATTATGGTGTGTTCCTATAATGACCTATGGTTAAGTTAAGTTAATAGGAACAAATAGCCATAACTGTTACATCCACCGAAATTATATTTATTTCGATTTTAAAACCTGGAATTAGGCTTGCTATCACTCGCTTCCCTATAAAAATGATTCTATGACTTATGGAATCATTGAAGCATTTCATTCAAAATTTAACTCATGAACATTTCGTTGCCGCTAAGACTTGATCATGGCCAATCAGATACGCTGTCTGCTTCAGAGTCAGGCTAGATTGATCTCAGATTGATTCCAGGCAGGGTTGGTTCTACTCACTTGCTATAAAAAATGTTTTTCGGAATTATGAAATCATTAGATAATAATAATTAATTAATACTTGTAAGTTACAAGAAGAGGTCGGAAAGTATGTGTTTGATACATAAAAGCTGTTAATTTAGCTTTCAGAGGTCAGCGATGTTATGACTCGCAGATATCATTATAACATTATAACATCTAATGATTCCAAAATTCCGAAAATAATTTTTTATAGCAAGTGAGTGGAAGCAAGCCTGGTTACAACCAATCGTCCTCAAATGTTGCAGAATTGCTTAGAACTCCAAATCGAACCAAAAAAGAGTTGTCTTGTTTGCGAAGAGCTTTTCGAGTGTGTTGATTTATTTACTTTTAATTCCGTTATAATTGCTTATCTTTTGACAGCTACGCGTATTTCGTCTACTACTTGCAGACTTTATCAGTACCAAGTACTCAACACCATTAAAGTTTGCGTTTTTGACGTAGGACTACGTCTGTGATTTCTATATGGGGGTACACTTTGTGAAAACCGAAAATGGAACATGTAACGAAATTATGTAAGATTTTGGTGCCCTGGGCCAATTTCAATAATTTTATCACCAATCAATCAGAAATATTTCTAGGCATCGAAAGCATTTGATTGTTGACAAGAAACTATTGAAAATTTGGTAAATGTCAAGCATTGTCCAAAAGCGTCGAAATAACTAACAAATTCACCAATTACGTAGATACATATGCTGTTTCCTCAACACAGTCATCAGAGAATCGTTTCTAGATGAAACATGCTTCCCCAACACTGTTATCAGAGTCGTTAGTAGACGAAACAAGTCGAAGTGGCATTCGCCTCCGACCTTCGGGCAAGTGCGAATATGGAGGATGAAATTGCGTAACATTTTGCACACTCATCGCCATATTCAGAACCACAAGCCCCCAACGACCACACAAAATGCTCTCCAGAGTTGTAATCTTGTAACCAAACTTGTGATGCAAGTTTTTTTTTTTTATAATTACTTTATTTGTACAGGCTCAATCGAATAAACTTTACAGAGCCGAGTTATCCTTTGCGTTATACATTATTACTGTCTTAAATTTAAAGTTAAAGGAACTGGGCCGAGTACTCGCGGTTGTCTCGAGGTTAGTGGAGATTTACAATATTTTGGATGGGAAAAGGGAAGAAGGAGGTTTGAAATGTGGTTTACGATACAACTATTTAATTAATCCTAAAGCATGAAATTATTTCTATTCATCTTGAAAACAAACATTGAAAAAAAACCCACACGTACAAAATACAAACTAAACACAAGGTTAATCAAACTTACAATCTAAGGTTAATATCCTTAAAGTAAACATATATGAGTTTCATAAACTCCAGATCGCGTCTAGCCAAAATATCCCGAACTGGAACATTAGGTTGTCTACCTCGAGCCCGAAGGGAATCATAAAAATGTGATCTGACTCCACGATACTCCGCACAAGACCAAAGGATGTGATCAGCGTCCTGGTAACCAGGGTGCCTTCCGTTCATTTTGACTAAAAAAATGTTTTATGAAATTATGGAATAATAAGATATTTTGATGATATTTTGTATGTGTAAATAATAAGAAAACATTGTAAAGTTTGTGTTTGATACATCAAATCTGCAAATTTAGCTTTGACAGAGTCACTATGAGCGTTTTTCTGATCGCCTCTTCGCGAAGAGTGAAGAGCGAAGAGTGGGTGAGATAAATTACAAAATGGCTTATTGCGACTCTCATGTAGCAAAATTGGCAGATATTATGTGTCAAACACAAACTTAACTATCTCTTCTTGTTGTTTACACAATCAAAATAATTTCATAATATCTTATTATTCCATAATTTCTTAAAACATTTTTCTAGTCAAAATGAATGGAAGGCACCCTGCTGGTAACCTTGTCCACATTCACAGAGATTGCTGTCTCCCAACCCCACACGGAACAAGTGAGCGTTTAGACAATAGTGATTGCGCAGTGTTTGGAAATCTGTCAACATGCCATTGAACTACCGTGTGTCAGGTTCGTAACTGTTCATGAATAGATATTCACAAATGAGTGAAGTGTCAGACACCTTTGCCGAATAAGAGTATTCAGTTGTGTAGCACCAAAAGAATGAACGAAACGAAGAACGATGATTGAATACAAAAAAAAAACGATCACAACAGTTCTCCGAATGACGCGTTCAATGATTGTATACAACTTTGAACTGCACATATCTTCTCTTTGTATCTACCGCACAGATAAATACAAAGCAGTGGATGATACATAACTCTGGCAGTAGCAAAGCGCAGCTAGGTACATAAGAAACATTCCTTCGTCCTGCGGTACCTTACTAGCGAATAAGGGAAGAAATAGGGGTAAGAGGGGCATAGTGAACAGGTGGTGCATAGTGAGCATCCCGTACACCAGCTTGGACTTCCGGCCGTTCGGAACAAATTGGTTGGTGGTAGGATCAATATCATAATAATATTAAACATACTACCTGTTGATTTGTTTCATGCAGCTGGAGATCCAGAGGCAAACTGCGGGATGCTCACTATGCCCCACCTGTTCACTATGCCCCTCCTCCCCCTAATCGAAGAAATGGAACGCGGGTAAGTTAGTTAGTTATATTTATTATGAACACGAAAAAAAATGAAATAAATGGAACTAAACTTATATACAGTCAATAAAACTCTGATAAACTCTGATTTTTAAGTTATATGTAGAGATAACTTCCTAGTGTCTTCGGGGAAGTTGTTAATAATTATTGTTCTCATTTTGGTACAATGTGTCTTCCAGTGGGACACAGAATCGTCCTCTGTACGAACCGGAACATCCGTAAAAGAGGTAAATTAATTAAACTGGCCTATAGCTAAATGATTTTTTGTGCATTCATTTGTGGCCAAAATATGCAGCACATTGATCTTCTTTGAGATCCCGAACATCCGTAAAAGTGGTCAATTCATGAAACTGGTCCTAGAGCTCCGTATTTTTTTGCGCAAGCACTTGTTGATGTGTTTTCTGGCTGATTTAGGCATTAAGGCCAAATTATACACCCTGGAGACCACAAACAGGTAGTCCAGATGATCCGGATTATCCATAAAAGTTGTCAATCCCGCTTACGACAACGTATGAAAAATCCGTGAAAGTTTTTATATATTTTTTGGACAACTCTGCAGTGACCTTGGCCATCTGAACAACTTTGCAGTGAACAGGTATTTCCCAGAATGCCAAAGTTTTGAGATATGATACATGCCCAATAGACTGATGCAAAATTTGAAATTTTCGCTCCACAGTGCTAAACCGGTTCCAAATTGGGTCCTGATTAGCCTCCCAACATTTGAACTCATTTACTGAGAAACTGACTTGGCACAAACCATTTTAAGTTTATATGGGAA